TAAGCCTCATGAGCAGAACTATCCTACGCACGACTTGGAGCTAGCAGCAGTCGTTCACGCCCTGAAGATCTGGCGTCATTATCTTTACGGCGGACGCTGTGAGATATTCATAGACCATAAGAGCCTGCAGTACATTTTCACGCAAAAGGAGCTTAATATGAGGCAGCGTCGTTGGCTCGAACTGGTCAAGGATTATCATTGTTCTATCCAGTACCATCCGGGAAAGGCGAACGTCGTCGCAGATGCCCTAAGCCGAAAGGTGAAGGGTGACTTGACGTACGTCATTACGCAGCAAAGTCCGTTGATCCATGAGTTCGCCCGGATGCAGCTTCAGGCGATCGATGCACTTCCCATGGCTGTCTCGGGGAGTACCAGTGCCAGTGTCAGTGCTATGCAGCTTCAGCCGACACTAAGAGAGAGGATCCGGCGAGAGCAGGCTTCTGACGAGTTTGTTCGTGTCATGGAGGCCAAGGTTCGCGCCGGAGGTGTACAGGATTTTCAGCTAGGCGCCGATGGTGCCTTGGAGTTCAGAGGCAGGATCGTGGTCCCGAAGGTCGAGGCATTGCTGAAGGAGATTCTATCAGAAGCACATACCGCACCTTACTTGGCCCATCCCGGGAGCACGAAGATGTATCACGACCTGAAAGGGTCATTTTGGTGGCGAGGCCTGAAGAAGGACGTCGCCGAGTTCGTCAGGAGGTGTCTTACCTGTCAGCAAGTCAAGGCCGAGCATCAGAGTCCGATTGGCCTCCTACAACCACTGCCGATTCCGAGGTGGAAGTGGGAGGAAGTCACTATGGATTTCGTTACGGGATTACCGAGGTCGTCTGAACATCACGACGCTATCTGGGTCGTGGTCGACAGGTTGACTAAGGTGGCGCATTTCTTACCCGTTTCGATAAAGATGTCTCTGGACAAGTTGGCTGAGATATATACCCATGGGATCATTCGACTCCACGGAGTGCCCGTCACGATTGTATCAGACAGAGATCCCAGATTCGTCAGCCGATTCTGGCACAGCTTACATGAGGCGATGGGCACCAAGCTTGAGTTCAGTTCAGCCTACCATCCAGAGACGGACGGTCAGTCAGAGAGGACTATACAGACACTCGAGGATATGCTTCGCGCCTTGGTTGTTGACAGGGGTGCCAAGTGGGAGTCACTGTTGCCGTACGCAGAGTTCGCGTATAACAACAGTTATCATTCCTCTATTCAGATGGCTCCTTACGAGGAACTTTATGGTCGCAAGTGTCGTTCCCCTCTCTATTGGGACGACGTTGGAGAGCGGCGAGTACTCGGTCCTAAGATGATCGAGGAGACAGCAGAGCAGGTCGAGTTGATCCGGCAGAGACTCAAGACAGCTCAGAGTCGACAGAAATCTTCCGCCGATCATCATCGACGAGACATTCAGTTTGAGGTTGGCGAGCGCGCCTTTCTCAGAGTTCGTCCGGTTCGCGGAGTAGTGCGATTCGGCAAGAGAAGGAAGCTGCACCCTCATTTCATCGGTCCGTTCGAGGTTCTCGAGCGAGTAGGCGAGGTCGCGTATCGTCTAGCCCTACCTCCCGAGTTATCAGGCATTCATAATGTATTTCACGCATCGATGTTGCGTAAGTACGTGTGCGACCCCGATCATGTCATCCCTCACACGGATATTCAGGTTCAGCCAGATTTGTCGTACGAGGAGCGACCGGTAGCTGTACTAGACCGTCAGGTCCGTCGGCTCCGGAAGCGAGATATCCCCCATGTGCGCATTCAGTGGGATCGCCACGGAGCTACTTGGGAGAAAGAGTCCAACATTCGCGCTCGTTTCCCAGACTTTCAGTTTTGATGTACATATTTCTGTATCTCATGTACATAATTCATGTATATCAGCTATGTTTTGAATTTCCGAGGACAGAAATTTTGTAAGGAGGGAGGATTGTAATATCCCGATATTTTATCGGTATAAATTACGTTTTAATTCCGATATAATAATGTTATCGTTTATTATTTTCAGAATTAATTAAGTTCAGTCGGGATTACCGAAATTTATTTTCGACGTACCGCTTACGTTTGAAATAATTTTGGTAATTAAGTATTATGTTTAATTAAATAATTAAACATAGATTGTGATTAATTATGCCAATTAATCACTTAATAAGCCTAAATGCCGTGAGGTTAATGAAAATTTTCCCATAAATTGTGCAATTGTCGTGGCTTTCCTTCGGCCATAGGAAATGATTTTTCCTCCAATCAAGTTATAGCACTTGTCAACCAAGGAGGATGCTTAGTCATCTAGTAAACTCATAAGAGCTTAGCAAGTGTCAAGGTGACATGAAGCCACATCCCTCTTCCATCACTCTTTCCAAATTCGGCCGCCTATAAATAGGGTGTGATTTGGGAGATTTTTCCCAACTTTCTAAGTTATATATTCGTACGCCATTAACTAGTGCAGCAGCAAGAATTAACACCATCTTCCCTCAATATTTCCCTCAAATCACACGGCAAAACAAGAAGCTAACGCACGGCGAGCAAAGACGAGGAATTACGCTCCGTTTTCCCTTTTCGATCGGACGAGCTAAGAGGTAACCTCTTCCTTACCTAGTAATTCAACTAATGAGATCATATTAAGGTTATATGTTCGGTTTATTTTCGAGAAGTTCAAGTAAAATCATGTAATAGGCCGAACATGGTTGAGTAAGATTATAACCGAACTTTTAGTGTTTAATAATCAGTTCAGCCTATTTTATGTTCAATAAGATCAGTCTTGTCGGAGAAACATGAGATTTTGTTGACATTTTGGCCAAAGCCGTCGCTAGTGCCTATCGCACGTAGCTACGGTCGGCCGAGGTTCATGAATTAGTGGGTTAGTATTGATCATGTTCTGTCCGTGTGTTTATGCTTTAAATAGATTCACATTAAGGTTCATGCTGAGTTGTTCTGGAGCTGCCGAGTAAAAAGATCTTACGGTCGAGAGACGGCGTATAGCCGTCGGCGGCGCACGGCGCGCCCGCCACGGCCTTTCATGTTCAGTATGCATCTGTTACGTTTTCAGGTTGTGGTTAATGAGCGCATTCAGGTTAAGACATGTT